GGGGGAATAGGCATTTTTCCCTCCGTCGGACAGGCCTGGACCCTCTGTCGTCCGACGCACGAATAGGTCGTCAGATCAAAAATTATTTAAAAAAAAAAATAATTCGCCTATCCAAATAACGTTATTTTGACTGCCAATCTCTAATATTGTGGTCTAAAAGCACATTCATTTTTTGACCATAATAAGCCATTAAAAGAAAAAAAAAAAATCCCAGTAAACCTTACAAGGAAGTTTTTATTCCGGGCCGCTCCGTCGGACATGTCGGATCCCTTGTCGGCAAGTTTAAATTAATATTCCTTATAAAAATAATCTTGTTGATAAATTCGTCATGGTAGATAGAACGCCCTCTAATAGTACTTTAGAGGATGAAGTTTTCTCAGCCGCTTTTGACAACAGCCGGGTGAATCTTGCAAGGACAGACAGTAATTTTGATTGATATCGTACTCTCAATTTAAAGATCCCGAGCACACATTTTAAAGAGAACGATAAATAAATTAAATATGGTGTTAACCGAAACATTTAAGCTCAGTATAGGCGGATGTTAAAGCACGTTAGTAATTAAGTGTCTTTAGCTAACTAATCAAAATGGAAATGTAAAACGTTTTGAATAGGATTACTCGCTATTTTATTCGATGATTTCTTACAGTATTCGGCTTGAGCCAAAGTATTCTACGCAATGTGATCTATTAACCTAGAAATGCTTATACAAAAACTTAACGTTCAAACAATGAAATATCTTGGTGATTTAGGAGAAAACAACTCTAAAAGTTACCGATACAATGGTGCTAATGAGTTATTGACGACCCGTTGTATAAAGTCATTGAATTACCCGGCGAAATATCTGTGATGATTTAGTGTTAAGTTTACAGTTGAAAATCATAGCGCAGAGTGTACTGCAGTAAAGCAACCAATAACACACTAGTAGCAGTGACAAATGTAATGAAATAGGCCTATAGCAAAATGCATTCTGGGATTATCGGCTTAGGCTATCCTGTTTTCTACTACATGATGTGCTGTCTAAAATAAATCTTCCTTATAGACTTATCTGTTTGCTTTTTCCTTGTAATGTTTCCATAGATTATTGTTTTTTTTTTTTGTATTTTAGGAAGTTTCTTGTATGGTTTGATCTTGAGTTTCATTTATGTTTTAATTTTTTTGTTTTCAGATGTAATATCAAAACAGGAACATCATGTCTAGGAATGGGCTATAATATGTATTCATACAAATATTTGTCCTGACAAATTTGAATCCATTAATACAACAGCCGACATTCTGAGAATGAATTGTTGATGTAATTTATTTAGTTCATTTTATCTGTCGGGAGCAGTTGCTCACTTTCAATATCACAGTTATACTTTCATTGAGCCAAATGCAAAATTATTACGGTGATGCAATTTAATATTCATCGATATTCTTTAAAGTTACATACAGGTTACGAAGTACATAACGATTAAAATTATTTACACATCAGTTCATCAATTTACATACAATTCTAGGACTTTCTACCAATAATAGAAGCCTAAAATGCACTTTAACAACATTAATTAGGCCTATATTGAATAAATCATTTAGAATTCAGTTATCGATTTAACAGATATGAACTTTAGATGGTGTCAATTAATTCTTATAATGCTAGCAGCTCTATGCGAAACGTCATAACCTGGTGGTAGCCGCGCTGTGTGGGCTCACACCGTAAAAGCAAGTGGAAGCAAAGATACTAGAAACACAAGATAGGTTATATTTAATAGGTCCAGGTTGGACAATCCACTCAATTCATTCCAGAGGGCAGCAGACTAAAGTGTCAGTTATTGGTGACCAGATTATTTATTCTACATTTCTTTTGTAAAAAATGAGGGATGCCATCCCAAAACGAGTGCACTGTCACTATACCATGTTAAACCGAGTAACTAGCATAAGCATGTGACAGTACTGTATACTTTTAAAGTACAGAGAAGCTGTAATACTTTTACTCATAACTCTGGTAATAGTAACTCAATTCCAAAACTGTGGAGAATATGAATATATTGAAAAGTCATTTTTTTTTTTGCCATTGATGCTAGTTTTGGGATGGCATTCCCTAAACATCTATGAAGCTGTTTATTGAAATATTTTTAGAAGACTGAATCAATATGTAAATAAATTTGGCTGTTCACAGTTGTTGGACGACATAAAACTGGAGCAACAAGCTCAAAGACAGAAAATGGATGCGTTTCTAGTGAGAAGCAACTAAAATTTATGTCGACATTACCAAAGAGTATTGAACTGCAAGACGTCCGACTCCCGTGCAAAAAGTACTTCCACGAACTAGAGGGCATCCTTCAAGTGGCGAGTTTCGAACATAGAGCTCTATGGTTTCGAACGAACTCTATTCGAATTCTAATAGGGCGCCACTTGTGACAGCACTTTTTTAACGCGCCATTGCGTACATACAAAATCGGGGCTGTCGGACCTCTTTTACATGCTCAAAGGTCATTTCATGTACTTCTAAAATCGTATTCCTCCTGATATCAATTTAGTAATACTCATCGGATCAATCTTTTTATAGCGATACGTAAAATTAAGTAATAGACATAATAAATAAAAATCAGACATGTTTGACTTATATAAGGACTTAAGGGCCATTCAGTGTACAGTTTACAATCAATCATGCTGTTGAAAATAATTATAAATTCTCATAGGATCCTATTTTATAACGGTACTTAAAATTAAGTATACATAATAATCGGTAAGTTTCCTTGTTTGGCCTAATGTAAATAATGTGGAATCAAATGCAAACGAAAATAGATTTACGGGCATATCGTGTAATGCCTACAAAAATCGGTAAAGAAAATAACGAACTTGATTATAAAAACATATATATATAAATGTTTGTAAGCTGTTCCTGAATTTAGCTTATTTATGGCCTACAAAATAAAGGTAAAAGTGTTTGTATCTATGTATTATTAAGTTTAGCTATATCATGAGACCCTTGGGTATTGTTGCTAAGATCCCAAAAAACAATATGTAAATGTGTACGTAAACACGTGTTCGCGGTTGTGTGACAACACATGCGCATATTCCTGGCATTGTTCACGAAAAGTTCTTGGTCTCAATCCTATGACGTAAGAATTATTCTCCAGAGTTGATATTATAGAAGTTCAGTGCTAAAACAGTATTTAAAATCAAACACTGAATGAAGAATAATAATAATAATAATAATAATAATAATAATAATAATAATAATAATAATAATAATAATAATAATAATAATAATAATAATAATAATAATAATAATAATAATAATAATAATAATCTTATTAGGCGCACGTATATCCATCTCTTGGTCTCTGCTCGCGGCGCCGTACAAACTGGAAAACTAGTGTAGCCTTAAAATCTGAGATAACTAGTAGGCTAATGAGGCTCTGGTGACGGGAGGGAAACCACGGGAGACCTATTATCCCAATAAATGCATTATGCATATTTTCCCAATAAATGCACACTAACGGGTTATAAATAACTGCAAGATGGTAAATAAATGAAAAAAAAACGTCATTTATCGTTGATTTAAAATATATTATATTCTGAATAAAAATTGGTATTAAATGGAGTGGAAGTTTAGGATGATAGGTGAAAGTGTTGAGATGTTTTGACGTCACAATAAGCAGCAGAGTTGTAGTACAGCAATGATGCTTCCTTCCATTGCATATCCTCTGTGAAGGAAGCGACGGTTCTCCTGAAATGGTACCATGAATTTTAATACGGATGTTATGAGAGAGTTGCGTTTATAACAGTTTTATTTACATAAACCAAAACAAGATAGTAATGCTGAAAGTAAGCGACCTTAAAACACGCCGGATGCCTTGTTTTAAGTTACGAAATAGGCCTACTCCATACATAAGCATAATATATATATAATGAATTTATACACAACGTTAGAATGTAGACCACTAGGGACAGGATCTTTCAAAGAAAAAACATATTTCTAATTTTAAATAAAGAAAAAACTAATTTGATATTTAAATCATTACAAACTTGTTTTTATGCCAATGCTTTAACGAAACAGTTAACGATCGAACACAATGACCACGGACAGGAACTCGCACATTTTTTAACATTTTAATAGCTCATCCCAATGTAAAACCTCATGCAACGGGGATTGCTTCCGTGTACACTGTGTTCCGCTTCAACAGCCAGCCAAAGAAAAATCAAGGAGGCGTTGCATATAAAATGGGACACGCCCTCTTTCAACAAGCAAATTTTACATGTTAATTTAATGTATGTATAAAACCGAAAGGTCCACTGATCAATCTCAGATAAGAAAGTATAATACATAATCCAAGTATTGAAATACACGCCATCGTGTTGGGATTCAATATTTCGACATTAATTATGTCATCATCAGGACATAATTAATGTCGAAAAATTGAATCCCAACACGATGGCGTGTATTTCAATACTTGGAGTATGTATTATACTTTCTTATCTGGTGTATGTATTATACTATCTTATCATGTCTGTTATATACCGAGTTTTGATAATATAGTTCATTAGGCCTTGCCTATATGGTATTGAGTTTTTGAAAATTATTGTGGTATTCTTAAGATATTATATATATATATATATATATATCTTTTGCTAACTTATTTATGGGACAATTTGAGGCCAATTTCCTGTCCCTACAGCCCAAGAAACCAGATGTTTGGTTTCGTTACATCGATGATATCTTCATGATTTGGACCCATGGTGAAGATAGTTTGGATACGTTCCTATTGAACATTAATTCGGCTCATCCCACAATCAAATTCACTGCTAACAAATCCTCACCCAGAAGAGTCACACTGCAAGTTATTGTTTAATTGCCTACAGTACAGTACCTGTCTCTTATACACATCTAGATGTGTATAAGAGACAGCCATACGATGGTAGAAGACCGGCGAATATGGCACGCCAATAGGGCAACTTTGAAACACCTGTACATCGACTGTGTTTCAAAGTTGCCCTTTTGGCGCGCCATAGGTGAAGAGACAATTATGTTTTGAGTTGACACGGCAGTACTTTTTTATGTACAGTATCAGAATATTGAAATGAATTGTATATTTAACCGTGTTTCATATTCATAATGACTGAAACGGAAAGTCGGTATTTTGCTCTATATACGTACCATACAAATAGGTAAATCTAGCGTTTACTTTCTGTAAGATGAAGTGCTAGAGCTAGGCATTTGCTTTGCCTTGGCGCTGGGCTGACCCTAGGTATCTAGGCCGCCGGCAGCCAGGGTAGCCCTGCCAGGTGGCCAAGGTCCCTGTCCGACCTAGGCCTAGGCGTATTTCTGATTATTTTGCATTCCTAGGCCAGCCATCATCTAGTACTTTTCATTAAATGCAGGTCAACAACAGGAAATGGGGGCTCAACTGTCTCAGATGAGAAAGAGAAAGAAGTATCAGACTTTTTACAAAGGGAAGCAAGATTCAACAGTGATTTCAGGTGAGGTCTGCAATATTTCATTGTTACGCTTTTTCTAGATTTTATTCGCTGTAAAACAACACTATTGTCAAATTTTCAATACTTTTTTACAGTCTCTCTGTAATAACAACTAACTTAAAAGCAGAGCTTGAGACGACATTAAGAGGATTCATAGCAACAAGGCTATCAAAGGGAACTGTCTTCAGTGGAATTGGAGATGTCACTGATATAGATCTAGGGTAAGACCTTCCTTCACACCAAATATACTCCTATTTTATCATACACTATGCCAGACAGTAAAATAAGAATATATCCTCCGTGCCAAAATTTGGCCTAGAAATCTATTCACGCATTTCGAATAATAATCACCGATTTCTGCGCAGATTTTGCAGGAAAGTATACATTAATTTAATCAATGAATGCAGTAATTACTATTCTGCGCACCTTATTTTCCACACAAATTTGAGATAGTTTTTTAGGTATCATCCGTGTGGTATCATCTATGTAATTACTTTACAGTTAGACCTCTGCTGTCTTGGAAGACAAGTTCTAGTAATGCATAGGCCTACAGTTCAATATAATAGAACATCCACATTATACCTGGTACACCTGATTAGAGAGATTGTTAAATGCCTTGCCAGAAAATATAAGCAAATAGCGGACAAACAATTCCACGTCTTAAAAGTTAAGAACCTAAAAAACAACCATTTCATCTGTGTTTTAATTACACAACATTGATTTTTGTTTTGTTTTCTTTTAGCAGAGATGAGAGCCTACAGTGCTATTATTATCATTTAAGACAAGCGAATGATGATCATGTGACTGATGATGTGTCATCGATGTACACGTCAGAAGAGTATGTAGTTTGTTTCCTAGCAGCTCCAGAAGAGAGTCTAGATTTATATCCTTTGATTATGTCATCACTCAAACATGTTGTTTTTGTATTTTTTATACCACTTACCAATTAATACACAAGTAAAGGTTAAAGGTTAAACATTTGTATTGTGCAAAATACTAGGGTCTCAATGTGAACAGATGTAAATTCAAAAATAAGGAAAGAAGAACTCCAAGCCAGCACCCAACCTGCAGTATTGGGATACTGAAACCATCATAATTTTTTTTGTGGCGGAGGGTGTGCTAGCTGGCGAAATATAAAATGTTATCACCATTTTTGGCAGTGTGTAGGGTTCACTAGAAAAGGTACAAAAAATTCTTGCCTTATACAGTAAAGAAAAAATAAATATAAATAAATACTGGTTTTTATCAGCCTGTTTCTGTTCATCTATATATTTATTGATTCGTATTTCTATTTGCTTTGATCCTTCCATTTGCCTGACAATCGATTCATCCATCCATCCATCAATCAATTGATCCATCAGTCCATCCACCCATCTGCAGATTATACACTTACCTACCTACCTGTTTCTATTTATAGCTTTCAATTTCATGAAGTTGTACATACGGTAGAACTTATGAGGGAATCTAGAAATTGCTGTGTTGACACGAACACCATTTTACTTTCAACTCTTGAGACTAAACAAGAGAAAATTGATGACATTTATACACTGTGACTGGTTGTAGTCTTTGATATTTTATCCATCACTTTAACTGTGTAACCGTGGCATTGATATTTTGGTTCTTAATGTAGCTTTAAAGTATCATATGTCGCCATGAGTCATTTTTTACATCACATGTTAACCTTTTTCACAGACCTTCAATTTGGCACAGATAATTCCAAAAACTGCATGGAGTGCACACTCCTGTACTCCTACTCATACATATTTATGCTCTATCCCTTCTTTAGTTTACTGGTTGTTATTACTTAATTTTTTTTCACATTTCGTGTAGACCTAGATTCCTATAGCGAGGACTTACTTCCTATGTTGGATAGTGAGGTAAGAATGTGTATAATCTACTTTTGATTACAGTACTTTGCAAACTTTCTTAAATATATATTCAATTCTCTTGATTCATGTACTACATAACTTTAAATTCTCCAATTCAAATGAAAAAATCTTGTAGTTTTGGAAAGATCACACTTTCTTGCTCACAGTTGGTTATGCCTTTCCGTTCCAATGGTTACTCTCTTTTAATTATTGCGTAGTCATTACCAAGTAATTATATATATACTATGTGTGTTATAATACTTTGCCATTGGAAATTATTTAATTTAAAGTGTGTAGTAATAGTAATTCCAGTTACCTTTTCATATAATTGCTGTCACTTTAGCCTCTTAGTGATGTTATTTCTGGAGGTCTCACACATGAATGTTGATGGACATTGCAGGCAGCAAATGTTAATATATTGCTACGGAAATGTGCAGTTGAGGAGTGTTATTTTTAGGATATTGAACTACTCTAGAAAGGATCTTGCTGTGTTAAAAGGTTTAGTGCAAATAAATGCCATGTTCTTTATATATGATGGTTAGTTTCTCCAATAAACCTTTGATGTATGCCTATGGGATCTGGACATGATACGTCTTAGTGATGTTTGTTTCATTTGTAAGCAACTGTTTATGTTTGGTAGATTTACGTTGACTGCTTCATTCCGAGTAGTCCCATGAGAAATTAGTTTGCTGAACTATGTTGTCATGTTAACAGAGGAAGCTAGAATGAGCAAATCAAATGGACTCTGTGTAAAGGGTAACTTAAATTACTACACAAACAGCGTAAGTCAATTATATGCTGTTGTATTAATGACGTTCTTTTTAATGAGGAGTTGCTTACGTATTGCTATTCATTATTTACTTCTGAAAAACAACAAAAGCAGAGCACTATATCAAATTATGTTGTAATAGCAAAGTCTATAATCGATTCAAGTCATTGCTTGGTAAAGGTCACATAAAAAAAATTAAACTTTATCCATATTATGAATTGTAATGGGAGCCTATCCACAAGGGGCTCATAAACATCGCTTGGAGAGTCTACTATTGCAAGAATTTAATTGGTTTGAATTTTGTTGCCCAATTCACCCCCACCCCCCTTTCCTCATTCTCCATTCAGCACCTCTGACTCTGCAACTCATCCTAAATATTTTAGTTACCCATTATATGCTTTTAGGTTGCTTTACTTTACTTTTTGACAGATGAAAGAGGTGAACCAAGTACAGGTGTACCTATCCAGGTGGCATCAAGAATCAGTGCAATATATAACAAGGTGTATCAACAAATTAAACAAACAACTTTCAATTCTTCTACATGAGGTAACACAAAAGTTTCAAATAATGTATTAAACTTTACGAAAATAAAACTTTCATTTGTTTAAAATATATACACTGTAGACTTATTTCGTATAGGTTTTTATGGAGTGGAGTTGAATAGCTTTGTGGTTAATTAAGATGCTTGATTTTCATTCCCAGGGTCCTGGGATCAATTCCTGTCAGGGTAAAAGTAATTTTTCTCACGACCAAAACACCTCCACTCCCTGTTCACTGTTTGGCGTTATACTTGGCCCTAGTACCTAAATCTGAATAAAAAGAAAATAATAATGTACGATAGTGGTTTTAAAATTTACTAAACTGCTATTTGTTGCATGTCTGCAATTAAACAAAATGGCTGTCACAGTCACCCAGAAGAGTCACGCTGCAAGTTATTGTTTAATTGCCTACAGTACAGTACCTTTATATACACCAATCTTCGGGATTCAATATGCAATGTAATAATTGTTACATAAATCCATGTTGCAATCTTCACTGTGTGTTAAATTTATTGTACTTTGACATGTGCTTGACTCTTGTATAGAGTGTACTTTGTTGACCTTTTACACACTGTGTGAATGCATGGATACCACACTTATCTAGAGAATACTGTACCATCTGGGCATCAATCAGGAATACAGATACTGTACTTATTTAACATTTGAGAACTTTGCTACCATATTTACTACTAATTAATGCTTTATAATGACTACAGGAGTCCCAAGTCACCCGGAAGTTGTGGTAGTCTCCCAGAAATCAGGATGGCCACCCGCACTCCCACAAGCAAGCAATAATCTCCCGGAAAATAACTCATCTCACACAAATTCATGACATTTGCATATTTTTACTACTTTAATATTAATTGTTTCACGGAAGTCAGTGCAGAAGGGTAATCATCATGCACAACAAAATAAAATTATGAAAGCTCATTTAACCAGATTCCCTGGAAAATATTCCTTCCAACTCGGGACCCTGAGTCTATAACATTTTATTTGACAAAAAACTTGTGACATGCCTAAATATGGTCATGATGACATCACATCATGACCATATATAGGCACATCATGGCTATATATGGGTATACATACGGTTTTTTTCAAAGAAAATTTGATAGTTTGGATAAGGCTTCATTGAACAACTAACAACATTTGCACTCTCTGATTATTGAGTATTAGTCGATGAATGATGCATAAGAATTGTGTAAATTTTAATCAGAAGAAGTGCTGAGTAAAAGTTCTTTGACCTGCACTTTAGTCAGCTTGTCATTATTAATTTTTATCATACACTACATTATTTCTTTTTGCCAGGTTCAACTATACATTGATTGATCGTAGAATATAAAGTATCCTTGTTTCTTGTACAAACTTTAGCATATTAAAATCTAGCTCTGTATGCTCGCAAAGACATTGCGAATTCCATGACTGTAGTGCATAATTTTGTTATTAATATTTGTTACAGTGCAACCTCCAATTCGAGACCTCCCTATTCCGATACCCCTCCACTTTTCCAAAGACCCAAATAACAATCTTCAACCTTGTAACACAAAGCTAGCCCTCTTATTGGAGACCAACCCCGAGACCACCTAAAATTTTCAGGTCCCAAGGGTTATCTCTAATTGGAGGGCTAATTGTATTCGTATTTGTTTATATTTTAACATATTGGATTCAAGACATTCAGTCTCCCAACAAAAATTTAGATAAATTTGAATTATATATTTAAGTTAATCACATACCTGTATGTGTCAACTTTTAATAAAAAACAACTTTTCAATAATCTTCAGATGTTTTAAGTTGAAAATAGATATTTGTTGCCAGAAAAATGGCTGCTGTATATGCAAAACCAATTTTTTTTTAAAGTTTGTTTGTTTTTTGTTTTTTTTTTTGGTCTAAATTTCAGTTTAAATCTAATAACTCATTGAAATTACCTAAATAAATAATTGTTTGCTTTTAGTTTATATGAGGCTTGGTGGATCTATAACATTCAGCAAGCCCTTGAGCAGGAAGGATTCTGCTGAGATATGCTAGAATTTGTAGCATATTGAGAGCATGCTCAACTCACTCATGCTTTTATACAACTAATCAAACACCTGTGTATTTCCATGTCTGTTAAATGCTCTCATAATGTACACCAGACATTGGCCGTATTTGACTGGTCGTTCTTCGTTAAACCACGCCCACCTGCGCAGCGGTAAAATCCTACTCAACGAAGACGACCAGTCGAATAGAAAACTTGTAAATATTCGACAAAACAAAATAGCTGTATAGTTACTGCGATACACTTTGCGTAATCAAGAATGCTTCAACTTGTGGTAGTATGGGTTTTTCGTTAAAAAAAATATTTTCATCCAGTTTTTTAATTCTGTTAGCCTACAATTATTTTTTGACTCTATGTGGGTAAATATTATAACTTTTATTTAATGAAATTTAATCTAAGTTATTAACACAAATGTTGTTTATAAACTCACCAATTGGCCATGTTTGTTTTGGTCAAGTGAATAACTTAATGCAGATTAACGCACTCTGGTTTACGTTAATTTTCGTTGTCAACGAAGTCTATTTAAAGAACCAGTCGAATGAAAATAATACTCAACGAAAATTCGTACTCAACGAAATGAACCAGTCGAATAAGCCCATTCTGTTGAAGGTTATGCAATTATCTTCCTTATATTTCAGGCAATCTCAAATTCAAAGCTGGAGGTTGAAAGTGATGATAGTGTTACCAAGTCAGAGATTATAAAGTAAGCTATTCATTGAAGATATTTGTTGATAATTCAATATAAATGGTTAAGTATATAATACTGTATGTGCTTATAAACTAGAACAATAAAATGGTTTTTATATTTAAGAAACTTATTACCTTCTAATTAAAAGTTATAACAAAAAATAATTTACATGATAGATTCAAACACAAAACGCGCTGATAACAGCTGCCCCAGGGAGTTGAATAATTGCTTCATACAGTATGTGCTTTATCCATTGTCTGGAGGTAATAATGTTAAGTGCTTAGAAGCCTTGTTGGCTTGCATTAAATACTTCTAACATATTATTATTATAACCAGTTTAAAAGTTTTGTAGTAAAATATGTGTGAAACAAATATAACTGTCACAATATCACACACACTTACACTCACTTGTTATCAGATCCAATGAATTTATTTAATAAATATAATTTCATTATTAATACAAGATATCAAAGTTTCCTACTTCTTTATATGATTTTGTTTATTGCAGATTCATGCATTGCTGTAGCTTGTCTGATCTTCTCCAACAAGCTAATAACCGAGATGGTGGACAGCAGGACACTTCGTCTGAGCCTAGCCTCATAGACTTTGATGAGTCCGGCTCTAAGCTATTTGAAGTAAAGTCAGAGAATGTAGTAAAGATGTGTATTAAGGGAGATGTCATTACATTTCAAAATTCAGGTTTGCTAATTATCATTTTAGTTAATTAGTACTTTTAATGGCTATGAATAGAGTAAAGATCAAAGCATTCCTACCCTACTGATCAAAGCTACCTACAAAAACAAAGAAAGCTCCTTTGAAGCTTTCAGCTCATTGTTAAGCAAAGGGTGTAGTAGGAATGCTTTGATCTTTAGTTTATTCATAGCTATGTCACTACTATGGGTAATGTTTTGATTAGTCACACATTTTTGGTACTTGTGCATATAAGCTTGCTAATATGGGTAATTTTTTATTCCTGATGATGACATAATTAATGTCGAAATATATCAAATCCCCACTCAATGGCTTGCATTTCTAAACTTGGAGTATGTATTATCTGAGATTAATCAGTGGACCTTTCGGTTTTTGGAAAACAGCTAACACTAACATTACATCTTTATTTCAGTTCAAAACGATTTCTGTCAAGAATGGATGCATACGCTCTTAGATGGGCCTAACGACAAACCAGCATACAGTCGTCAAGTGATCGAGAGTTATAAGCTCAGAGTCATACAAGATATGAACCTTTTGAAACGTTTAGTGCGACAAGCCGAGTCTGATCATTACGCCCTTTATAGGTACGGAAGTTTTTCCAATTGTTGTTGAATAAAGGGGGAAGTAGTATAGCCGATTGTAACATAAAGTCAATACCAGTAAACACATTACAACTTTCATGAAGGAATCATGTACACTTTGCATACAATTTTCTTTTCTCTCCCCACCATTCTTTCTTTTCTTTTCTTCTCTCTAATTTTGGGGGGAAGCTTCGGCCCTGTGTCAACCACCCAGCTGCAGCTCCTCCAATGCCCAAGACAGTTTATTATTGTCTCTAAACAATAAGATTCTATCGCTTGCTGAACATTTTCAGGCCAAAGTTCAACCTGAAAATAACTTGTAACTAAGGGCTGCCATTTCTTTGAAACTATAAGCTATAGTTAGTTTTGATGTATAAATTATTTATGCAGTGTATTGTTAATATATAATAGATAAAATTTTTCAATCCTATATTTTCAAAAATTCTGTCATAAACATGTCAAAGTATTACACGGTATCATCAGGCACTGTTGCTACGCTCTACCAGTTTATATACTTATTATTACAATGTTGTTTAAAAAAATCCAACAATTTTATAGTTTATCTGTTTACCACTGTTCCTTGTTGTATCATGCTTATTATTATTATTTATATTATTCTTTGTGATTTTTGTTGTTGTAGGGCCTTCATATTCTTACGGAAGTGTGGTAACTGTGAAGTACTTCTTAAGCACACCAACATAGACTGCTCTGCTATGTCTGAAGATGCAAACCATGTCCTCAATATATTGCAGGAGTTTGTAATGCAAGATACATCATCCTAATGTACGTCGTACAGTTTAATAGTAATTATGGTCATTGCTAAGTTACACCTGTGTGAAGTACTTCTTAAGTATACCAACATTGACTGCTCTGCTGTGCCTGAACATGCAAACTGGGCTTTGCCACAGCATGCCAATGGATATGGGACTGTAATACATGGTACCCCAACTTAACCATTGCATTATTGAATCTTGATAATTGACAATTTTCAACAATATGCTTATGGAAGTACACAATACCACAGCGTTACAAATATGATTCAAGTTGGACTGGATGAAAGAAGGTGCTACAATGCCTCTGGTCAAATGTTTGTAATGCATGCTACAGCAGCTCAAATAATGCATTATTTAAGGCAAGACGCTTTTATGCTGTACCTCGTTTTGTGAACTTATTCTTTTAGAAATCGTCAGAGGAGGGCGAAAAAAATAAAGGTTTTCCAAAAACATCCAGACGGAGGAGAAAATAAAAATACAATTTTATAGTAATAGGATAGTTGAATCCTTTGAACTTATATAATTAGGAAGAATATACATACAGGTATCTTATTTTTCAAGTTTTAATGCCAGCAGCGGGCGTAATAAAAATACAGAGAAACTATTTTTTTTCCTGAAATTTCCTTTTTGTGGCGGTGGGTGCGCTAATTGGCCAAAAATAAACTTTTATTTTTATTTGAAACCATCAATATTGGCAGGTTCGCGAAACAAGGTATAAAAAAGTCTCGCCTAACATGGGCTATGTGAAAGAAAAACATTGCGTCGATGCCCCTTATTGTCGGGGGTTTGTGCTTGCAACTTTACAAAAAAATCATACAGTGTAAAGTGGCTGTAGATTATCATTGACAGTATGTCCATATATGGTCATGATGTGATGTCATGATGACCATATTTAGGCATGTCACATGGTTTTTTCAAATATAATGTGATAGTCTGGATAGAGCTTAATAGTAATAGTCATTCTTACACCTAAGTGTAAGTTCATGTGAATGTTTGCTTAAATACATTATTTTTTGTTTTAAACTTTTTTAGGTATATATATTTAAAAAATAACCTTTTCAATTACCCAAAAGGTATATCTCAAATAAGTAAACAATAAAACATTGCCAGTGATTAATAACAAGACATGGTATCAAGATTTGGTTGTATTCTCAGTCCTCCCAAGTCTCCTAAATTGCTTCCAGCAATTTTTGGTTCATCTCCCGGTTTCCCGGAAATTCCATATTTTCTCCCAGAATTTGAATTTCTCTTGGATTTCTAAAGGATTTTAAGAGATTTTCACAATTAGGGCTTATGCTAAGCTACATTTTTCCATTCTTATGCATTAAATAAGGCAGACATAAGATTTATTAAACATTCTAGGCAGTAAATGTTATTAATAGTGCCCTAAACCTGCCCAAGCCTCTTTGTTTTTATATCAAACATGGCGATAAATGTGTACATGCATGTATTTGTCATGCATGTACTTGTACATGCGTTTTTGCTTGTACACTCGTCGCAAACCTCTGCCTGTTCTGCACGACAAATTCTGCAGGAATTTGACTTTCACAACTTTGGACCCCTGCTTTCAGCTTCATGTGATACATAGTGTAATATTTTATTTGTATTTTATTCCTCTTTTCTAAAAAAAAAAATGTTTTCATCGGTTAAATTATACAGCTGCTGTATTATATACACAGAGTAAAATAAAGAGGAATGTATAATAATATGCCTAATATATTATTATTATTACTATCCAATTATGGTAGCGTTGCATGGGTACAGTTTAGAAGGGACATAAGCACTCTGTGTAAGTTACGTGATGATCGGAAAAGCATGAAATGAGCGATGTCACCAACTAATGTAGTTGTGTTGATCAAGTCAGAAAGGCGACATATGCTTATCTTAAAATCATATGTTCTCTTTTAAACTTACCTTAAATTTAAAATTAAATTTTTAACTTGATCATCTCAAACTAAATATAATATTTCTCTATAACCTTTTTATAAATATTATATTGGTGCTTAAATGTGCAAGTTGGTACTTTAAATTGTACTTTGGTGTTAATGCACAAATTATTATTATTATTTTTCATATTATTCATATATTCATGTATAAGCCTTATTTATTTTGATTAAATTGTTTATTTTTATTACAGTTTTATAAACAAAAAAATTATTGTATCTACTAAACTGGATATCTTAATCTTAGTATTGTTATTATGTAATGGTCAAGAAATATGTTTACTAGGTTATTGCATCATCTTAAATTTTCTTTTTAATGATCTTATTTTACTAAATTATACTACAGTGTATGCATGAGAGTCTATACAACCCAGGAACAACAAAATGAATACCCTGTTTTTTAGGCTATGTTTTCTTGTTTTCTTAGTAATATTTGAGTTTTCACAATTAAAATTATATGCCTGTATTCAAGATTCAAGATTTTTTGTATTTGTCATTTCGTCATATGTTTACAAGTTCATTAAACAAATGAAATTCATGTATATTTTATGTTTTTCATCTGACAGATCAGATGAAAAACATTTATCAAATATAAAAACAGTTAACAAAGCAAAAGTTTTATAAGATAAACTTTAAATTTTAACTTTAAATACAGTGGTAGGCCTACTGTATGCATGGTAGATTCTTGATGTGCAAATTGTCAAAAAATCTTATTCCACAGTAGCTTTTAAGAAATGCTATGAACTTTATATAAAAACCTAAAGCGAAATAGCCAAAGTTATCATGAAATAACCAAAGTTGATGTGAAATAATGCAAAATAGCCAAAGTTGACGCAAAATAGCCAAAGTTAACATGTAACAGTTAACACGAAATAGACAAATTTGATGTGAAATAGCCAAAGTTAACGCGAAATAGACAAAGTTTGCACGAAATAGCAAAGGCTCGACTGCGCCACTCTATCACATCATTTTGTGTCAACTAAGGTATATGCTAATTCGCGTCAACTTGTACTATTTCGGCAGTCAATACAGTTTCACTAAACATGATGGACTGAGAGCTGCTGCTGAGTTAGACTGGGTTCCAGGCCCTAATTGTGGGTTTCTCACTCTTTAATGCGCTTAGTCCGCGCCATACATAATTTAATTGGCGTCCCATACTCGATTTCACTTTTTTCGGATTCTCGTTGGTGGCGCTGTCCATAATGAGAAAACAACAGTACCTGAGGGTGGTGGCATGCGAGACATGAGTGTCAAGAGCGTGACGGCTGATAGGACTTAGCCTGACCCTCCTAGGCCTTGGTTAGTAACTTAATGATGATCAGTAGTTGAAGTAGCTCAATGCCTACTTCTTACAGATCACCTTCTTACTAGTACTACGCCGAGTCATGGTTTACATGTTACAGGACAGCTACGGCCTGGCATCATAGAAGAGGATGTAGGCTAGGCCTACATACAGCCTACAGGCCCTAGCCGAACTTGCCGGTATAGCCTAGGGGCCCTACCTACTACTTACTAGTAGTACTAGGCCCAGCAGGGCCTAGGCCCATGAGCTTAGTTAGCGGTGACAGTGAGTGAGGCGCTTGGCCTACTACTAGGGCCTAGGCTAGGCCTTCTACAGTACAACCTAGTCCTATAATAATGTGTTGTTGCTTGATAAAAAGGACTAGGCCTAGGCCTATTATCGCAACCAGGTTAGAAAGAATATAATTCTACAGGAGATTAATATAATAAATAGAAAGTGGCTAGTATATGCTTACGCCGAGATGCAGTGCACTAAGTGAGTTATTTTTAAGGTAGGGGTAAAGCCACGTCGACCAATCAGCGTGTTGGAATTCTGATTAATTTGGCGTTAATAGAATGTTAAGAACGACGTTGCTTTCATTAGATTTGTTTACAGTCATTAAGGTGGGGGGGGGGCATTTTTTCGAGGGCCATTTATTCCAGATGAGGCTCTACAGTATAGCTAGAGGGGACATTTATTAAAAAATGATGTTTTAAATTTTCTTGCAAAACATTACTGTACACATTTTTATACCATTTTATGGTAATTTTTTTATGTTATATTTTTCAGATGTACGGCATTTGGTCATAAAAACCAGGAGTTTTCTAGCCAAAGATGGTAGGCAAGGCACACGTATTGGGTTTTCATTTATTTTTGAATGCCACAACAAAATTGCTGTTGAGCCGCACTTTGCCAACCTAAGACCTAGAAGATACTGTACATACTGTAATCACGTACTGTACAACTGTACCACTGTGGCCTCTAAATCTTAGTCTAAATCTGGCAGCAATCATATTATAATAGATTTCATCAGAAGCTCGAGAGCAGCTTAGCTCAGTGGGCTGCACTGGTTGTAGCCATTGTGGGGGTCACTGAACTGTGGAGATCTGTTTCAATTCCCATCGTTGCTCACCTTATATTTCAGCTGGAGGGCTGAAATACAAGTTACGGTAGCGCACCATCTTTCGGATGAGATGTTTAAGCCATTGGTCCTGTGTGCTTTATGGCCCATGTGCACATTAAGAACACAGTAGGGTCTACACTCTTTGGAAAAGAGTAGGGGATGGGCTCCTGGTGTACTGCCCACCAGAAGGTCCCCGCTGGAAATCAGACTCTTTCAGACTTTCGTGGTTATTCTTGATGTTTACATCAAAATTTGTCTATCCAAGAAACTACATTAAAAAGCAAGTGAGGTTTATTTTAGCTTCATTGTTGGAATAATGTTCTTAACTGGTTTCTATCAATGCATTCTTCTTCCTCAGATGAATCAAACTACTCCAACTAGTGGACTCGAAAACATTGAGCATGTGATCTTAGTGCTATCTGGCAAAGGTGGTGTTGGTAAAAGTACAGTCACAACACAACTGGCACTGACTTTATGTAAAGCTGGAAAAAAGGTTGGTTCTTTATATTTATAAATAATATAAAGTGGGGATAGGAGGGTATTTTGACCATCAAAACTGCTAATTTGATTAATAGTCTAATAGAACAAGAAATGGTCTCCCCAAACTCCTGCACCATCCCTTTATATGGCTTTTATAACATGTTTATTTTATTTATAAATACACATTTACAAGAAAGTAACTTTGGTATGAGATCCACCTCCATTGGTGTTAATTAAAGATGATAATAATTTATAACATTTACCAAAGAACACATGTATTATGCATTATTGCCACACTCTGACTGCTTTGAAAAACTTGTTACAATCAAATTTACTGTAATAAAATTGCAAAATCTTCAACAGAAATCTTTTTAATTGTAGTGGTTTCAATATAAGTGAGACTGGAGTTTGAACAGGAGACCACAACTGAACTTTCTGAAATCATGTCTAAATTATCATTAAATTATGAAAGAGCAGAAAGATGGCTATGAAATTGCAAACTAATGATAGATAAGTACTGCAAAATACGAGCTTACATTCCAATGTCTTGATAAGGAATATGCCCTGTATTTTTATTTTTCAGGTTGGAATATTAGATGTTGACCTATGTGGGCCTAGCATACCTAGGATGCTGAATGTCCAAGACAAAGATGTACATCAGTGTTCTGCAGGGTAAGTTGCACAAAGCGCGTGCAGGAGTGATTCATGAGTTAAACATGTTGCTTATAGTCACATTTAAACACTCATGAAACAAGTAATAAATCAATGAAAAACATTAAACGGTAATCAGACATCGTTCAGCCCTCGTCAGTTCATTAATAAATCAATTATTCAGATTGTCACTTCAATAATCATCTTATGTTAGTATGTATCATTATTATCAATATTTATCAATATTATTGCAATAATTTATTTTACTACCAGATCATAGTCTTTAATATTATTATTGTTAATCCAGTTATTGCAGTAATTTATATGGTATTGTAAGCATTAATAATTAGCATATTCCAGGTGGGTGCCTGTGTATGCAGATGCAGAGCAACAACTTAGTGTGATGTCAATTGGCTTCCTCCTAGGTGACAAAGATGAGGCTGTTGTGTGGAGGGGACCGAAAAAGAATGGTATGTCACCTTTATATGTCACTCTTGCTTTAAATATCCTACGATTCTGATAAATAGATAAATATACAGTACAAGTAAGTTTAATAGGATCCTAAGTCAAGACTATGAATGTATAGGTGCTCTACCACCTGAGCTCTGTCAGCTTAGCCTCTCAACTTGCAATAACATCTGGTAACATATCAACTCTTAGCCTATGGTGCAAGGAGTTTCAAAGTTAAACACGCCATAATATTGTTTTAACCTTTCTTACACTGGCAGACAATTCCAAGCTTTTTTCTTATGTTCCATGTTCTTTATCATGTGAAAAAGTATTGCACACATGACCGACAGCTTAAACCTCTTATCTTGCGCTATTTCAGCTTGTGTCACCGCCCTCTATCTGTAAGGCAAAAAGAGCAGCAGATGGAATTGAACTGGTATCAAAGGTCTTAAAGGATCTCCACGGTTCAGCGCACACACCAGCTACTATCAGTTTTGTCAACTAATGCTGTTGCTCTCTTAATTTATCAACAGCAATGATTAAGCAATTCCTAACAGATGTGTACTGGGGCAAGCTGGATTACCTCATTATAGATACACCTCCAGGTGAGAATTTTACCACTGAAGTGTATGTGGATTGTAAAACATTACCCCTTTTTTGCATTCATTATTTTTTGTGTTCTTTGTTGGCTCCCATTAGCTATTCCACCCATCTATATTTGTTATATTATTATTGTCACTATATTATTTACTATTTAAAAAATGCAATATTAAATATTAAATCAAATATATTAGCAACAACAGTGAAAGCATCAGGAGCAGTAGCATAATTATCTCCAGTTAAGCGGGAGCGGTTTTTGCGCAGCGGGAATGGTTTGGTTTTCTAACCACGAGGTTGGGGTTTCAATCTCTTGCTGTGCACTTTGCTTGTGTCCTTGAGGAAGGCACTTTATCTGCGTTGCTTCTCTCCACTCAGGAGTATAAAGTGGTACCTGGTGGGGTTGACTGCTCCTGTGCCAATATGGCAGCACTACGTTACAAAGCACTTTGTAACGTAAAGGCATGGATGCTATATAAATACCAAATAACAAACAGCACTACCACCATCAACAGCAATGCCAACAATAGAATCAGCAACAGCAGCACTCCACCCCCACTACAAGCAACACCACCGGCTCCAGCAAGAACAACAAATGCTGCAACACCAACACCACAAAAAATGATTGTAATAATAATACCACTACAAATTTGTTGTTTTGTTGTTCCACTGACAAATATTACACAGGTCTATGCTTATTTCCACATTTTATTATATTTTTACAGGAACTTCTGACGAACATATCACAGTAATTGAAAACTTACAGGAATTAAAGCCAGAGGGTGCTGTCTTAGTAACAACTCCTCAGGTTGGTGAAAATAATACTATAGGTATTTTTTGTGTCTTGCTTTCTTGCAAGCTGTAGATACAGAGCAAAATAATTGAAAGGTCATGTTTACTTGGCCATTACTTTGTTTTCTAAAGCTGAACAACGAGGGTTTCTTCTTTATAATTAACAATAGCTTTTGTTAAATTTTCTTGTTAATTTCAGATGGTGTAATATTTCATATGAACTTAGTAATAGTATGCAATTTGATCTTTTCTTTCCAGGGTGTAGCAATTGGCGATGTTAGGAGAGAAATTACATTTTGCCGGAAGACTAAAATACCTATACTTGGCATTGTGGAAAACATGAGTGGATTTGTTTGTCCTCACTGTGCAGTAAGTGAGAATGTCTGAATGTCACCTCAAATATGACATTAAATTCATTGACACATTTAAATTACCATTCTAATTTTGTATGTTTTATGTGTATATCAAAACTTTAATCTGAATTCATGTGGTAAATTTATGTAAATATACCAGAAAGTATGTTTCAAACCTGAAATTACAATTTTTCCGCTTTGTTTTTATACGTACTGGAAATTTACACTGCCGCAGTTTCGTAAAGAGCGCAAAGCGACACAGCTTGCGAGGCAATTCCTTTTCAATGAGGATATGATGAACCGCTAGTACATATTAGATGGGTAAATAGATGGATAAATAAATAAATAAATGATGATAACAATTACAATAGAGGTAGTTTTTATGATGATAATGATGGTTGTGGTGTTGTTGATTACGGTGATGATTGTGATGACAATGGTAGTGATAGAAATGGTGATAAAGAGTGATGAATGTTATTGTGGTGGTGAGGTTGATGATGATTATGAAATGCTAAACAGTTCATATTCTGTTTTTTAGGAATGCAGTAATGTGTTTTCCAAAGGAGGTGGAGAGGCATTAGCAAAACAGTGCAGTGTTCCATTCTTAGGTAACTTCTTGCATTACATTTATTAATATTACTATTTCTAAACAGTAACACCTCAGTTGTGAGGTATGTTCAATATAAAGACTAAAGCTCTGTCCAGTTTATCAATTTTCTTTGACAAAAAACATTTGTATGCCCATGTAGTCTTGATGTGCCTATATATATATGGTCATGATGTGCCTATATATGGTCATGATGTGCCTATATATGGTCATGATGTGATGTCATCATGACCATATTTAGGCATGTCACATTTTTTGTCCAATAAAATTTGATAGTCTGGACAGCCAGGCTTTATAGACATTTAACAACCACTGGATGAAACACACTGAATGCAATAAGATAACCTCTCGATAACATTTTGGTGAATGCATTTATACATACTGAAATATGTTTCCAAATGTTTACATTGCATATCACATTGTCACAATAGACTACTTTTTATTTGCCAATATCTTTTCCAATATCCCAAAAAAATAGCAAACAATTCTTCCCTCCGCACGGTATCAAATCACGTAAAATGTTGTAGCTAAATTTATAATTTTGTTGATAAATCTTTCATTTTAAATTATTTTTCAGGTTGTATTCCATTAGATCCCCAGCTATCACAAAGTTTAGAAGAAGGATCAAGTTTTGTGGACTTATTTCCAGAATCAAACACATTGCAGGCATTACGCAATATTGTTAGTATGATTATAAAACATAAAGAATCTGTGAATCTTTAAAATAATTTATTAATTTTTTTTTTTTTTTCAACTTCAAATACTGCTACAACTAACAGTTTTTATTGGTTTACAAACATCTAAATAAAGAATATACAATACCAACAGGCTTTCATGATAGTGGTATAGTCTTTTGGTAACAGACTATGTTCAATACAATAACAATATTTGTTTCAACATTTTAGCACTTTTTGTGTATACTGTAAAATGGAATGTGGGTTATTTCAGTTCATTTTATTTGACACGCATGCTGAGTACAGTGTGTTGACAGATAACCAATGGTTGATAGCACCTTGTCCGATAAGAGTAATTTTGGCCTAGGTAAAACGAATTGCGAATTCTGGCTGGGTCCTTAAAACCCCATATCGGCAGCCACGGCGTAGTGTCAGTGAATACAGATACAATGCTCATATTGAGGGTTATTCAAGGAGCCGAGCGATCCAACACCAATTTAAACCCGATGCTGTTGGCCCGGTTTAAACTGGGGTCTTCAGCGTTCGGCTCAGTACAATGATTTACTGTGATTACTCGTCCTCTGCAGACTCTATAGGCCTTCTCACCCATCGTCTGCTACAAATGTAAAATAGGAATTGTACGCATGTACAGTGTGTTGTGTCATCGTAATCTATTCTAAACGTAAGCAAAATTTAGAATTTAGAAAAGCAGTTTTTTAAACTTCAAATATTTTTGAAAGATAATTGTCTTTTATGCATTGTTTCTAATAAATGTCCCCACCTTTCATCAAAATTGCTTGATTTAGTGTTGTTTCGATCAACTGCCTTTAATATTTACTTGCATTTGTGTGCATTATCCCACACTCACCTGACGTCTAATACACCTACTATAAATGGTACTATGGTTAATGGTTCTTAATGCAATAAACTCTATGTTTCTATATATTTTGCTTTCTATTGTTGGCTTGTTTTTTAATAATTAGTGTTCCAAATAATCAGCTTTTTACCAAAGAAGAACCTTAAAACATTTTACTTCCTTTAATAACGTATTTAACAAAAAACCAGAATGAAACAAAGAACATTGTTGAAATAAACATGAATTATATACGATTTACAAATTTTGGAATCAGTGATGTAAATGTTGTCTTGTCTTGTAGATACGAAGACAATACATGTGTAAATAATACTCACCTTTACTACAACATTTCATTAATAATTTTATCATCTGACTTAATTATTCTTTCCAGCCAACCTCTGATATTCTGTAATTGAATTGTATTGTTAGTTGAAAACAGATCTATGTTAGGATCAAAGAAGCTTGACATTTTTCCGTCATTTAGGAACTGAATCAGTATCATTAGAAGGTCTTTGAAACAATCGTCGAGGTTGTCCTGGTGCCAGGACCCAATGCTTCTATCGGCGTTGAGATGCAGCATACATGTCTTAAGGTGATACGACGAGAGCATTCCAAGTTGAGAGGACCCCTTCCTCAATTGAATCGTCTTGAGGATCTTTAAACAAGTCCGACGACATTCGTACATACCGTCCATTTCTCTGATAATAGCTTTTTCGTTTTCTGAAAAACTCACCCGCCAGAGGTTATTGAGCATGTTGTGGTCAGTTCTGCTCTGATACTGATCACTATCAGGATGCCGCTTTGCAACAACCAATTTGTTCCCGATGTTAATAGATGGAACAACATCGATGCTCATTCGTTGTGAGCCATCATACAGCACTTCTAGTGTCAGCGCAGGACCACTTTCTCGTAGAGTAACACGTTGGACGTTTGGGAAAACCATATTATCTACTGCTCTTTTTACTATCGACTGCATCTTTCTTTTTATCACAATAGGACTCAAGTAGACATCATTGACAATGGCGTTATCATATGGGGTTTTAGTATTGAAAATATAACCTTGTATTTTGGTGATGAAAACATATCCGGATGATTGATATTTACTATATTCCCAATTACTATTTTTTAACATCAGTGGCAGTAAGAGATCAAACTCATCTGGTTCCATAACTTTTAGTCCTTCATAACTACTGCCTTGCGGCATAATGTCGCCAAAAGTGTAATTTGTCTTGCTTTCATCTTGTACGAACTTCTGGAGAGAGTTTTTAATATCTTCTACGACCTCAAAAGCCCTATTTCGCTTGTCAACTGGGATGGCTACATAATCACGGTAGTACCTTCTCAGCTCCATCAACAGTGGTTGGGATTTCCGTTGTGGAATTAAACTTTCACCGTATATCGCAGGCTCAATTGGACCAATGTCATCTTCTTCTGCTGTATCAGGATTTCTTATATTCTTTCGACGCAACCATGTTACAAATTTGTAGATTCCATTCCAAATGGTGTTTGATAAATCCTCAGTCATGATGTGATTTTCCTTTAAAAAAAATATATAAACTTAAGATAAAAATAACTGGGAAGTTGTTTTTAGTTTAGAAAAAAAAAAAAATTCACTTCACTGGACAAAAATTAACACAACTCCGTGGGGTTGGTAGGCAATCTGCACACAGATATATTGGGCTCGTCTTTGAACCATCAACAGCAAAAGCAATTTCCAACAGATGTGTACTGGGAAAGCTGATTTATCTGATTATATATAACCCAGCAGGTGAATACTAATATTTGAATTGCACAACGATTATATGTGCAATGTAAAATATCCTGTACACTGAAGTCCATCTATTGATTATTTTACATTCATTATCTTGGAAGGTAAATATCTTATCTATATTTCTCCAGCTGCAGACGAATATTGGACTTGTTTTTGCCTAATTACTTGGGCAAGATAAATCATCGCATTAACCGGCAGGGGACTAGGCCTACTGTAAATTATTTAAATTGCACTAAAAAAAATTAAATGATTTTCCCCCTCTCGACTCAATTCATGATAGTGGCTCTTTTCCATTTAGGAATTTTCTGTATTTCTTTCCTTGATGGCTCCCAATAGATAGTCCACAATACACCTAGGCCTGTGTTTAGGAGTCGTAATGTTATTATTACTTTTTTATCGTTTTTAAATGAGTGACCAATAAATGTAATAATATATATTCTTAAGGCCAACTCAGACAGCGTCGGCCGATGCATCCCGACCCGATTTATCGTCGGGGACAGTCTTAAGCCGTCGTGAGAAATATTAAACATGTTTAATATTCTACGACGCGACTGCCCCCGACGCACACCATCGCGTCTGCGTTTAACTCATACAGACCCGACGCGACAACAAATCGCGTCGGGGGCTGCATTGTACGACGCTGTCTGAGTTGGCCTTTATACCCCACATTAAGGCTTTAAAGTGATGGGTCATTTACTGTTGACTTACTATTGTCAAAGATATGAGTAAAGGTGTGTATATACGGCTTCTCTGTACTGGAATATAGAATACAGCCACATTTTTATGCTGATTACCCAGTTTAACATTTTAACGCTGGATTTAGGATTTCATGCCTCATATTATTATAAGTGTAGACATTTATAAACTATTAAAGTATCATAGTATCTGCATTATTAATATGTGTTTCAGAGTTTATAAATAACAAAAAAAAATAGTCTACAGACAATACAGTGCTCTCCTACAAAACATTCAAATGTAAAAATAAAAAGAATCAACTTACTCTTTTGATTTATTGCTTAACCGTTTGATTACCTGTGTGGTAACCGTAACTCCTATCACAGTGTTTAGCAGTGGCAGGCCTATATCGTTTCACTGAAAGTTCATTCATAACATGGAAGGTGTCTGTAAGAAAGAAAAGTGATTACTAAACAATAGTGTCGTTATGATTCGGAGTAACCTTTGACCAAATGTTTGTTGGACAAATACTACGTGGAGAATTTTAATACGGCCATATCCATTGGTGGCTTTCTCCGTATGTACAATACATACGTCAGACGATTATTAACCATTGGGCACGATCATTCCATCATCATCATATGTTGCTCCAGCTTTGGTACTAAAATACTTCTAGACGTACCTACGACAATTTTTCGTATACTGAATTATCAATTAATAATAATTACAGTATAATGCAGATATCCGTACCAATTGAAATAATATTAAATACCGGTATGGAATAAGGAAAAAATAAAAAGATAACCTTACCTTGTGCTCTGTTCCCACTGCAAAATAGAAATAAATGCTATTTAATACACATTTTATTATTTTAGTTTGTCGATTATTTCACTGGAAAAATACATGAATAATTAATTGACTATCGAGCTTTAATTAATTTAGTTATCCTGATTCATTTTTTTTTATTAATGGGGTATCATTGTATTAACCATTCACCCCCACCCCCTCGTCCCCGTAAGGAAAGGAGGCGAGGCGAGTGTAAGGCATTGCTGGCCAAACACGTGTAAAGTTGGCTTAAGTTAACGAAGAGAAAAAAACCGTTTGTATACATATATATAACATTTAGCAATTAGATGTGTAAAAAATTCAAAATACGTGCAAGATAATGTGCACCATGCTTACCTACTATGTAACAGCTTATTAATAATTTCTTCATCTGCAAGCCAGCGCTTGATATTCTCTATTGTAGAATCTTTGTAGTGTGCCAAAAGATTTACTTCTGGAGCAAAAAAACATGGCATTTGTTTGTCATTTATAAATTCAAGCAGTTTCTTCAAAAGACTCATGAAACAGTCGTCGAGGCTATCCCCATTCCAAGACATAATACTATTGTCGTTGAGATGAAGCATACACGTCTTGAGGTCGTAAGAAGACAGACTTCTTAGTGGACCTGCTTTAGTATTTGTTTCCCTGATTGCCTTGAGAATCTTCAAACAAGTCAAGAGACCCCTGTTCTTTTTTTCCATCTCTGTGATAATTGTTTTTTCATCTTCAGAAAAACTTTCACGCCAGATGTGATTGTAATTATTTCGATCATCTTTGCGAGATTTGTCAGCTTCAGGGTGTCGTTTTGCAACAAACAACCTAAACTTGCTGTCACGCTTATCCTTGAGCTTAATCGATGGTACAATATCGATGCTAATACGTTTGTCATCATCTTTTACTTTTAGGGTAAATGCTGGACCATTTTCTCGTACTTTAATACTTTGCACAATTTTTATATTTTTAATGCTATTCACTGCTCTTTGTAAAATAGACTGCATTTGTCGTTTTACATCAATAGGGGATAATAATTTATCATTGTCATGAGAATTGTAGGAATATTGACTTTCTGTACTTAAGAGTGCTTGACGTTCATCATCCAAATCATCATCGTCATTCCATTCACCATCGTAATTCAATTCACCATCGTAATCCAATTTACCATCATCATCCGATTCACCATAGTCATCCGATTCACCATAGTCATCATAGTCATCCGATTCACCATAGTCATCCGATTCAGCATTGTAATACTGTTCAACACTGTCATTCAATTCACCATCCCGTTCACTATCGTAGTCCGATTCACTATCGTAGTCCGATTCACTATAGTTACTTCTTTAATAATTGTCATTCATATCAGATATTTTCCTAATGAAAAAATATCCGGGTGCGTGACATTCATTATCTACTGAAGCTTTTGTAACATCAATGGCAGTAAGAGATCAAACTCGTTTGGTTCAACAACCTTCAGTCCTTCATAACTACTACCTTGAGGCATAATGTTGCCGAAAATGTAGTTCGTTACAGGGTCACCTTGTACAAACTTCTCAATATAACCTTTAATTTTGTCAACAACCCTACTTGTCCTCTCTTGCTTGTGATGCGGGATGTCCGCATGTCTGTCGTAATAATTTCTCAGCTGCAACGACAGTAGACTCGCTTGTTTAATAACACTTCCTCTGCGCTGAACCTTGGTTACCGAATCCTCCACTGGCATCTGTCCTCCGGTCTTTTCTTCATTTTCACATATAGGCATAAGCTGATCAATTGGACCAATTTCCACATCCTCTTTTGCCTCGTTTGGATTGCGTTTACAGAACAGCCACCGTAATAGTAAATAGATGGCAACACAGATGATCAACACAGTTAGGCCTATGAATTTTAATCTAATAAAAAGACTGCTACCCATATTAAAATGTCTTTAAGCATCTTGTCTTTTCTGAAAATTAAAATGAAATCAAAATATTATTAGGTCAAATAAAATACTATAACACAATGTAAAAATTGATCAAGTGGAAAAAAAAAAACATCCATTTCACAAGGTAACCAGGGTGGCTGGTGACTACTCAACTTTGAAATGAAGAATCCAATGAGAAGGACCTACGTGTAACATACATAGTGGCGCCAATGATGTGCTGCTTCACGGAACCATCTGTAAAAATCCATATCTGATCAGACGGCATAATGAACGGTGATCTCTG